CGCCCCCTGCAGCCGGCACGAGGGATTGCGCTCCTAGTCCTGCGACCTGGGCTCCGCAGGTCGGGTCCCACCCTGCTCTGGTCCCCTCCAGGTTGGGCCTGTCTACGTGCTGAGTCTGCCAGGCCCTCAGAAGCCTTCGTTGTGCCTTAGGCAGCACAGGACCGCAGTCGGGTGATGCATCGAGCCTCCTGACAGTCCTTTCTCACGCCAGGCGGCTCTGCACGAGGAAAGCCTCTCTTTTTCTTGACCTGAGCTCTATTTCCTTGGTGTTTCCTCTCGCAGCTCCAGTGTTACAGCTCAGGGCCACGTGCTGCCACTCTGCTTCCCTACTGCTCTCCCACCAGCTCCATTCCTCATGGCCTGAGCTTGACGTCCTCTGCTGCCCGGTTTCCTCATCTGAAGGATGGAAATAATAATCCCTGCTGTGCGGGGCTGTTGCAAGATAAAAAAATATCTATATTACCAATAAAAATGGTGCACGTCTGTAATCCCAGCAGCTCGGGAGGCTGAGAGAGGAGGATGGTGAGTTCAAAGCCAGCCTCAGCAATGAGAGGCGCTAAGCAACTCAGTGAGACCCTGTCTCTAAATAAAATACAAAATAGGGCTGGGGATGTGGCTCAGTGGTCGAATGCCCCCAAGTTCAGTCCCTAATACCACACACACACACACACACACACACCGGCTTAGTTCAGATTTCGGGCTCAAGACAGTAGACCAGAGCGTGTGGATTTACCTCTCCTTCTTCCTCAACATCCATTGAAAGAAACTTAAAGAAGGGCAGGAGGTTAAAAAAAAAAAAAAGGGAAAAGAAAAGAAAAACCAATAAAAATCCTGCATGGGGCAGACAGTACATCAGTGGATGGGAGATTTGAACTTATTTCTGGAATACAGGGATGGGTAAACGGGCACAGAGAAAGTCATAGCTCCAATCAAGTAGTAGAATTGCCTGTAGATGATTTTATTGTATTTTGTGTTGTTTTGGTGGGTCAAGACAAGGTAGGAGAGCAGACATGGGGACGGGGCAGAAACTAGGGCCATGGTGGGCAGATCTCAGGGGAGAGCTGCCACGTGGTGGTCACGTGGGCCTCTTTCGCCTGGGTGTGTACAGCTCCACTATTGCCCCTGGCCTGAGACTGCCAGGGGTTTCCCTGAGGAAATGGGATAATCAGTCTAGGAGAGCCCTGGGCTTTCAGAGTGAGCTCAAGCCCCCAGAGGACACCTCTTCTAGCTTCGACCCTAAGGCCTGGCTAAGCTTGCTTGCCAGCTCCCCACCCCGCATGCCAAATCCAAGCCCGCCACTCAGCAAGCCCCACCCACACCCACAGAGCTTGCTTTCTGCTCAAAGCAGCAGAAATAATTAAAGAAAGCAAGCTTAATAATGAAACCCTTTAAACTCATCAGAGATTCAGGAAATTACTTCATTTACAAGATAAAGAGCAGAATATAATAAAGAAACATTCAGAAAGTTCCTTAGTGTTTAAATACATTTAACATTTTAATTTATTTGTGGTGCTGGGGATGGAACTCAGGGCCTTGTAAATGCTAGGCAAGCACTGGATCACTGAACTACTCCCAGCCCAATTTGACAAAAATTAAAAAATAAAATCAATAAAAGGATTACAAAAGATCCAAGTGACAGATCCAAGTGACTAATTTCATTCTTGAGGACGTCCTTCTTATTTCTTAGTCACCTCCTAAAATTTCCACCTTTAAATAAAATCATGTTGGGGACCCAGGCCTCAACATATAAACAGTGGGGGATGGGGGTGTGCACAAACAATTCAGTCCAAAGTGCTTGTGCAAAACATTTAAGAATGTGAATTTATATGAGTAATATGAATTGCTGAGTATTACAAAATATTGCTTATTACCTTGCACAGCTCCTACAGTTAGCATAAAATCATGAATATCCTGGAAACACAAATTGAAATGCACAGAAAAGCAAAAACATGAATCTATCACCCTAATAGGAAGTGATAGTGTGTGAATCTGTTTGTTACAAGTATGCTCTTTGAGAAAAAGAATCAGATGGGATGATTCAATTTGCATTTTCTCTCCCTTTTCCCATTCGAATCTTCCCTGCACTTTGAAAACAGTGTCGGTCTCTGATATTGGCCTTGGGACAATCCATAAATTTTCTTGGCACTTAAATATAGTCGGTTTTTGTTTTGAGGACATAAGGCAAGAGATGGAGAAGTGTTTTCCTGGGGCCCAAGAGATGTTGGTAACAAGAGCAAATGTTTAGAATTACTTGATTACACTGTGCCAGACACATGCCAGCTCCTGAGTTATGGAGGCTCCTGCGTATTCTGTAATAAATTTGGGGTTTGAAGGTTGAGTAATGTGGGCTCTCTAAAGCACAGGGCCCAGGCATGGACTCTTCTTGCCTGGGTCTGGGTGGTATTGCCTGCAGCCTTCTCCCCGCCCCATTCATACAACATAGGCAAGAGTTAGCCTCTGAGTCAGGCAGACTGAGGTCCCAGTCCTGCCCCTTGCAAGCCTCATAAATTGGAGAAAGCCATTGAATCTGCCTGAGCCTCAGCTGCCTCATTTGCAAAATGGAACTCATAACAGGTTTCTCCTCCGGGGTTTTTAGAGCAGCCAGCCCCTAAATTTGCAAGGTGTGAGACAAAAGCAAAAGAAGAGGATTGGCCTGCAGCTCACTGCCCTGTCTTCCCACCTGGCTTGTTCCACTCTAGTAGACATCAAAACGTGGGCATCTAATTACCATCCACACATGCCCCATCCTGAGAACAGTGCCCTTGGCCATTTTCAAGCCTAGGGGTGAAGAGACTGATGGTGTGGTCCACCCTCAGAAGGAAGATACAGGAAAGGGATCAGAAACAAATTCTGGAATTGGGATCTGGGGTCTCAAGGCATTAATGATAGGAGCTTGAGGGGGAAGGACTGGTAATGAGGACCCTGAGACAGCCTGTGAGGAGGAGGACCTGAGACAGACCCTCTGAGGCAGGGTCCCACATTGTCTGTCCTGGTTATGCAGGATTCGTGAGATAATGTTTATAACCTGCTTACCACAGTGCTTGGTGTTCAACACATAGTAAATACTTAATAAATATTATCTATTGGTATTTGTTAGAGTCTGTAAACAAGTCTGGATGGCGCCTGGCAAAATGCCAGAGGGAGTGGTTTGTGAAGTAACGCCAGCGAGCCATTAAGTGTGGAGATTCCTTATTGGTTGACTGATGTATCAAGTTTATGCTAATTAGATAAGCTGTGTGGAATGTATAAATACCTCTGTTGTCCTACAATAAAGGGCTCCCACTCCTGCTGTATCAATCTACACAAGTTGTTCGTCACCCCCCGGTTATTTTGCCCAGCCAGCCGGGCTGCGGCAGGTATTTAATAATGTTATTATTAAAATGAGGATCTGAGGGCTGATTCTCCCTTTCAGAGGAGTGATAGGAATAAATGAGATTAGTTGATGCAGTTTCTCTAAAGGCTTTTGGAGGACACAGGATGGCTTCCCTGTGGGTGCTGAGCCTGAGGTTGCAGGGAAAGTAGCCAGCCTGCTTGACCAAGACAGGAGGGCCATGTTCTTCCCAGGACACCCAAGAGGTCTGCAGTTGCCAGGGTGACTTGGCAGGAGGCTTCTCAGAGACTGATAAACCGAAGCCCAAGATAGACTGCAGCCCCGCTAAACCCCTACTATTTGCGAAGATGCTCAGCCCCAGTTCCTCCCTACACCCTTGCCAAAAAGGTACACGCGTCACAGTTGAGGAAATTGAAACTCAAGAGGTTGGGTGACTTGGTCAAGGTCATACAGCAGGGAGGGGGGAGCACCAAGCCCTTTCCATTGTGCTTATACCTGAGTCTAAAGCACTACTTGCAGGTAGAGAACAGGATCGGCCCAGGGAGGCCCAGCTGATTTCCACAGGGGGATAATGAGCATGCAGGTTGTGAAAAGTGCCCGGGAGAAGGGTGCACTTGGTAATCCTGCTCCTCCTTTTGCCAACTGAGCCCAGCCCCACGGGATGCCCTGGAGCTGCCCTGTGACCTTGGACAGGGCTCCATTCTCACCCACTCCCGCACCTGAAGGTTGCTGGACAGAGGCCAGTGGAGGAGAAGGCGCTGGTTCAGGCCCTTTGTGGTGCATCTCAGAGCTCGGGTTGTGCCCTCCGCTGTGGAGGGTCACAGCATGGTTGAGAGGCAGCCACCACCTCTCCCCTCTGCCAGGCTCCAGGGACTTGTGCCTGCTCAGCCATCCATCTAGGAATCATTTCTTGGGAGTTCTGCCTGGACGTTGTTCTTGCGCCTCCATCACCTTCTCCTCCCTGGTCCATATCTGCCTGGTCACCAAATATCCAAAGCAGGGCCACTAATACCAGCTGTGTCTGCTGACCTTGGGGGTTGTTCTAGCTATGCACAGACTCTGCTCAGGACTGATTCGGTGCTCCCTTCTGGTGGGGATCCAGGAAGCACTCCTAAGGCAACAGGGAAGTGCGACAGGAGTTCATGAGAAGGTGATCGCAGGGGACCAGGTGCTAGTGGAGACTTTCAGGAGACAGCACAGAACAAGCTCAGAGTTGTCCCACGTGAGGGAGGAACCCTGGGTATTTATCCACCAATTCCTGATTCTCATTGGTTAAAGGCTATTCCCAGGGGCATTAACTCTCCAGTGCTCAGGACCTGCGCAGTGCAGAGGCCCAGACTGTCCCTGAGCAAGAAAAAGCCTGGAGCAGGGGCAGGGTGGCAGCATGTGCAGCGAGCAGCGGCTTGCAGGAGGGTCCCAGGGCCAGCTGCAGGGTCTGCTATGGAGCCGGCCCATCTTGGTCTTGCTGGGCGTGGGTAAAACAATGCTCTGAGTCGACAGACGACCACGAGTGAAAACTTTATTGCTCTCAGCACTTTACATGAGTGTCACCAACACCACGTTTGGGCAAATATATAAAAAGCACAACTTATGGTACAATCGTTTCAACCTCTGATTCATGCACTGTACAGACGCTCCCAGGATCTCTCCCAGCACGAAAGGACGGGTCTCAGGCACAGCAGTTGCACTTGTCCGAGCCCCCTTTGCAGATGCAGCCCCGGGCACACTTGGCACAGCCTGGGGGGCAGCAGGGACAGCAGCCTGCAAGGGTTAGCAGATGAATGAGTCAGCTTTGCGTCCACTCTTCCATCTTCCCACCACCCCTCCCATCACTGAGAGGAGGTGGGAAAAGTGTGAGCACGAGGCTTTGATCCATATTAGAAACTGTGGGACGGGAGACTGTGGGACATGAGAAGGGAATCTCAAGGGTCATCCAGAGTCTGCCAGAGTCCCAGAGAGGGGAAGGGGTTGTCAAGGCCATGGGTAGTGGCAGATACAAGACTAGAACCAGGACTCCAGGCACCAGGCTGGTGCGTTAGCTCCTTTGCCACTGGACAGGACAGAGCCTCCCCTCAGTCCCCTTCCTCCTCCAAACCCCACGGATGTCCCTGTGCTTGGGTGGGCTGTAGCCCTGAAGAGCGATGTTTCGGATCCCTTCCAAATGAGTTCAAGGCCCCTCAATGGCACCATGGCTGCATGGTTGAGGATGAAGGATTAGACCTTTCCAGAGCCCAGCCCTGGGTGTCCCTCGTCACCATACTCACTTTTACGACATGTTTTGCAGCTGCAAGTTGTACATTTGCAGTTGTCTCCACAGATGCACATTCCTCCTACAAGAGAAGACAGGGCCTCCTTGACACCAGGGCTGGGACGGAGTGGACTGCGAGCCCTGCTGCAGACTCTCACTGTGGCAGGGTGTCTGCACTGGCCTTGGGGAGTAGCTGCTGAGCATCCCCCTGTGTTGAGGACTGTCCAGTGGTTCCCGTCACAGGCCATCAGGAATATTTGTTAAAAGGCACATTCCTGGGACCAAACCCTAAGATTGTCTGATTTCTGAATTGAGTGGGGAAAGCCATTAGTATTTTTCATACATAAAAATCATCCACATTTAAAAATTTTTTTTGGTAATACTGGGAATGGTTGAACCCAGAGACGCTTTACTACTGAGCTACATTCCCAACCCTTTTTTATGTTTTATTTTGAGACAGGGTCTAAGTTGCTGAGGGCCTTGCCAAGTTGCTGAGCCTGGCCTCAAATTTGTGATCCTCCTGCCTCAGCCTCTGAGTCACTTGGATTACACACATGAGCCACCATGCCCAGCCATTTTTTTTTTAAACTCATCCCAGCCATCATTTCAAAATGCTGGAAGCTCTATCTATCTTTTTTAAAAAAATATTTTAGTTATGCATGGACACAATATCTTTATTTTGCTTATTCATTTTTCATGTGGTGCTGAGGATTGAACCCAGTGCCTCACATGTGCAAGGCAAGTGCCCTGCCACTGAGTTCACAACCCCAGCCCTGGAAGCTCTGTCTCTTTAGCACGTTTTTGGTACAGGCATGTGCTGTTAAGGATGACAGGCTTGTGGACTTTTAGATACCGTTTTCCAAGGCTGTGAAATCTCAGGATGGCTTTGAACCAGAACTCCCTCCTTCTAATCAACATGCTTCTGTGAAGATAAGCAGTTTTGAAGACTCGGGGATCCACTTAGGTGGCTAACAACTACCCTGACATCTGTAAGTGCTTAATGATTTTAGTACTTTCATGGAAACCCTGGGAGGATGCAGCTGGGAATGAGTGATCTCAGTTTACAGATGAGGAAACCACGACCCAGAAATTATAAGTGTGGATGAGTGAATGGCAGCAGCAATGGACCTAAGCCAAGTTGCCAGGTTCTGGTCCAGAGTTCTTTTCCTGAACCTGGTGGCTGCCCCCAGGATCTGCAACTAGGAGGACCAAAGTTTTTAGGTCCTCTCCTCGGCCATTCCCTGTGCCAGGGCTACCAATTCCAGCAAATCAGACTAGAAGTCACCATGGTGGGAGCTGCCCCAGAGGTTGTCAGTCCAGGACAAACCTGATTGGCGACTTCTGATTGGAGTCCTGCATGCTCCCTGGAGGGTGCTGGTGCTGTGCCCCAGGACCCCAGGAGGGCCTCCTTACTTACCAGACATGCAGGTGCAATCCCCGGGGTCCATGGTCCAGGCGTGCAGGGGGTTCCCGCTGCTGTCCTAGCTGAGGAAGGGAGGCTGAGTGAGCAGTGGCTGGAGGCTCCCTATTTAAAGCCGTGTAGGTGGGGCCCGCAGCTCACCCCACCTCTCCCTGGGGCCAGACGCCCTGCACACGGCCCAGCCAGACGCTGCAGGCTGGGGGCTGGGGAGAGCAGGCAGATGAGGACAGAGAGGCTGAGCGGTACAATCATTTGGATGGTTTTCCACAAAAGGTACAGATGCTGCACCTACTCTACCTGCCCACTGCCAAGGTGTCACAGAACCAGGCTCAGGTTCAAGTTGGCAGTTGCAGGCATCCAGCCTCCGGGTCCTACCTACTGTATAATCTGCCATTTCTATTCCCTGCTTCATGGGGGCTGCTCCTGCCCTGGCTCCAGCCTCATTTTCTTTCCCTGGGTTGATCCTTATCGTGGGTAAGAAGGTGGGAAATCAGGGGGACTCTCCTACCTGAAGCTTGCAGCTGTCCTCCAAGCTCACACCCCAGAAGGCAGAATCCAGAGAGGACTGGGGGACATCCAACCAGCCCCAACCTCCATCATGACCCCATTCTTTGATAAAGGCAGCAACTGCTTACCATTCACTCTTATGCAAAGTGCCCCACAGATGACATGGCTCCAAATGTCCCCCCTTAAACTGTCCCCTTCACCCACCCCTGAACAGAAATTATGGAGCAGCCATTAATGGGGCTTCCTCCAAGAGGCTGCCTCCAATCTCTCCCTCTCTAAGACGGAAGAAATCTCTGCATGTGTTTCCCCTTGGTGATGTGTTTGTGCCTTTCTCTTGCCATTTACTACTTTCTACTCTGCTGGGTGGTGATGATGATGATCATGATGATGATGATGATGATGATGATGATGATGGAATTGAACTCAGGGGCTCTTAATCACTGAGCCACATCCCAAGCCCTTTTTTGTATTTTATTTAGGGACAGGGTCTCCTGGAGTTGCTCAGGGCCTCGCTAAGTGGCTGAGTGTTGGATATGGAAAATGACAAACCCCCAAATAACGTGGCCCAGAAAGAAGAAATGAGAGAGAAGGCAATGCATTGATCCTTTCCCAATACATTCTTTCCCAGTAACAAGGAAGTCCTGAGAAGAGCTATCCATCAAGTCTGAAATGACAGTTTCTGGGAAGAGGCCAAAGCATTTATCCCGCCCCAAATAAATGTTTTCCCAGATACAAACCACTGATCCCACACCCTCCATCTGGCCCAGTAAAAATGAATCCCAGATACCGAATACTGACCCCACACCCTCCATTGGGCCCAGTAAAGATAGCCCAAACTGACACCTCTCAGTGTAACCTACATAAGCCCAAACTCCCCCCTTTGGCTGGAGGCTCATTTTCCACCAGTAAATGGATCCATCAGGACGTCACTCCTTTCTGGAATAAAAGCTGTGCTGAGCTGATTTGTCTGGCCCGATTCTTTTGTGCTAACACTGAGGCTGGCTTTGAATTCACGATCCTCCTGCCTCAGCCTCCCGAGCCACTGGGATTACAGGCATGCACCACCACACCTGGCTGTATGATTATTTCTGTTCAAATATTTTATTTGTGTTTAAATAACCATACAGCAGGCCGAGCAGGTAAGCGGGCTGTGATCTCCCTCTCTCCAATCTGGGAGTGCTCAGGGATAAGACCAGCATCTGAAGCACCTCTCCTCCTTCTTAACTTTCTGTACACAGGTAAACCAGTGCATTCTATTTGTACCTAATGATGGGATTCGTTGTATGTGTTCGTACATGTGCACAATACAACAGTACGGCCAGGGGATGTTGAAGGAATGAATGAGTGAATGAGTCAGATGGATGGTTGAATGACTGAAGAAGTGAGAGGTTAAGCAAACACCTGAATAAGAGAATGAATGAGTGACCTAGGACACACACACACACTCACACACACACGCATGGATCTCCTGCGAGTGGCCACACTGGGAACCTCTGCTGAAAAGTGTTGTCACCTTTCTGAAAAGGCAAATGATGGGGCCTGGCCAACACCAGAGCAGATGGTTCCTCTGGGTTCTCAGCTTGGCGGGGTACCCATTGTCATCCACCAGGACCCCCTGGGCCCAGCCTGATCCGTGGAATCACCGAGCTGAACTGAGAACTTCCACTGAGGAGAAAGGGATGAGGTGTCAAGGTCATCAGAAGAGCTCTGGACAGGCACTGGGCGGGGACAAGACTGTGGTGGTTCAGAAATGCTCCCTGACCTAAAGGCATTCGCTGCCCAGTGGGGGACATTCATTCATTGTCTGCTTTTCAAGTGTCACCAGCATGAGCCCTGAAGTTACTACGGATAACCACTGTCATCCGGTCAGTCAGATGCCACTTGCTTGCCGGAGTGAAAACCTGAATCCTGATCACCACCTGCTCCCACTGTGGACCATCAGGTTCTCACATAACCCCAACCACGAGGAGGGCTCCAGACCGGGCTCCATCTGTGTCCAGGCCATGTTCATACGCCTTATGAACCTGGGATCCTTATCATCTCATTATAATGATAAGAAACACATCCACAGGCAGGATGAAGGATCGACTGTGCCCAAATTAGGAAAGAAGACATGTGTGGCCCTGATCTCTGGAAATCTCCTCCCTTTCCCTGATAAGCTCTGATGGCAGCAGGAATGATACGCCCCCTCATCACCAGACCCCAGGCCTGTTCAGAAAGAAGGTGCCTTTAGAGCGTGAGCGCCCCTTTTCCATTCGTTGCCTGGTGAGTCAAGTTTCCTGCCTGCTCTCAGACTGGTCATTTGCAAATGGCACAGAGCAGGAAAAGAATCTGCAGATTCGGTGACACCAGGGCCATACTCTGTGCAGGGCGCTGGAGAGCCAGCCATGAGGAAAAGCAGCTCATAGTTCAGAAAAGCAGGAGCATCTCAGCCCAGGAAACCCACGTCTGGGCGTAGCTGTCACACAGTCCAGAGGCTGGGGCCGTCTTCCTGGGCCTGCTCTACCAGCTCATCCCAGCCCATCTCTGTGGCAGGGCCCACTTCCCCCACCTCTTGCACATGCCCCCTAGCACATAGTAGACTTGGAGGCCCAGCCCGACCAAGTGAGCCCAGAGATGGAGGAGACTTTCCTTCACCCTATCTAGGCCATCTCTCCTCCCTCCTCACTACCTGTGCCGGGAATTGCTTCCTCTTTTGTGGATCAATAGTATCTTGTTGCTTAAGGCCTCAATTGAATGATTGTGCCAAAATTCAACCCTCTCATATTTAAATATTTCCCAATTTCTGGGCTGTCTAGATTGAAACAACCAAGTGCAACACTGAACGTTCTGGTCTAGGTGGAACTATGCCCAGGTTGGTCCAGTACTTTTACACAATCCTTCTTTTAGAGCCTGGGAAAGAGCGTTCACAGGCCATTTTCTGAGTCTCAGTTCCTGGTCTCTGAATGGCAGCAGGAAATCAAGAACATACGTGCTGCTCCAAGAACACGCAACAACTGGCAGGCATGCCTAAATCCAAGCTTAGAAAAATCAGTATTTTGCTGAGCACGGTGGCACACGCCTGTAATCTCAGCGACTTGGGAGGCCGAGGCAGGAGGATGGCAACTTCAAAGCCAGCCTCAGCAATTTAGCGAGGCCCTAAGCAACTTAGACTCTGTCTCAAAGTACAAAATAAAAAGGGCTGGGGATGTGGCTCAGCGGTTAAATGCCCCTGGGTTCAATTCCTATATGCCCCATCCCCCAAATCAATATTTCTTTAGAGAAGTGATCCTTGAGTCTTCTTGGAGGGATTCCAGGAGCCCTTTGAAAGTCTGGTGAAAGCTTGGACTGTCTTGTGGGGGGCACTGGAGGGGAGCAGAAATGCATAACATCTACCCACAAGGGTTTTGCGGATCTCAACTCTGCAAAGAAGCCATTCTGCCTGGAGTAACTCTTCTCTTATCATCCCCAAATTTTACTCCTTTGAGCCACCCAATCCTAAATATCTCCTTCCCCGGGTATGACCTCTATTTACGCATAAGTATATTCGGGTGGTTTTTCTCAAACAACGAAACAGGATGTCTCAAAGGGCATCTAATGCCCCACCTCTTACACAACATAAAGAAATTGAGATTTTGCTTTTTCCTCTCCACAAAGGTGAAAGCAAAACCCAGGGTGTTCTGTGCCCAGCAGTTTCTGCACAAAGGAGTTTCAGGTATTCCTGGCCTCGGGATGGGGTGGCACCACGCCATGATGGCAGAGAAAGGTCCAACTCCCTGTCACTACTCCCCGCCAGGTTTTGCTCTTGGGAACCCTTCCCCATGCAGGACCCTCCTGATGCACATGTCTTCTGGAGTAGGCTGCAGCCACCAGGTTATTGTGCTGGCATAAAAACCAGCTTCTCTAGGGGGCTGGGGATGTAGCTCAGTTGGTAGATTGCTTGCCTCACATGCACAAGGCCCTGGGTTCAATCCCCAGCGCCCTCCCCCCCCAAAAAAAAATACACAGCTTCTCTAGACCATAAAGCTTCTCAGGAACAGGGGCACCTCATCTCCAAGACCAGGGCCAGGCACCACTGAGTGCTGCCATCCAGCAGGTGGTCCATCAACTGATGATGAATGATTGGCTGGATGAATAGAGTCACATCCTGGTCATCTTCTCTGGCTCGTTCGTCAAGGGAACTCATTGTTCAAAAAGAGCAGTTGAAAGTTTTGAGATCCAGAGTCTCAAATCCTGGTCCTACTGGATCAAATCCCTTTTCTCATCGTCCCCCACCCCCCGTTTTTTTTTTGCCTTAGGGCAAGTTATTTGATCTCTCTGAGCCTCAGTTTCCCCATCTGCAAAATCTGCATCATGCAAGCGACAGCACTGTCCTTGTGAAGGTTAAATGAGAACATGCAGGCTGGCGGTGCAGCTCAGTGGCAGAGCGCTTGCTTGGCATGTGTGAGGCATTGGGTTCCATCCTCAGCACCACATAAAAATAAATAAATAAAATAAAGGTATCATGTCCATTTACAACCAAAAAATTTTTAAAAATGAGAA